GCGGCGGGGCGGCCGCCCGCGTTGACGGCGGTGGCGGCGCCGGAAAGGGCAGCGCTGCCTAGGGGAGAGGAAGGGGGTGACAACCCCGCTCGGAGGGGACGTGTGCCTGTGCTCTGCACCTCAGGGGAGCTCTGGGCTCTCAGCAGCATCGTCCCTCGGACGGGACCTTCATCCACTGCACGTCAGGGCGCTTGTGGGAGCAAAGCAGAATGCCCTGAGGCCTGGGCTATGCATCCCGCTTCTCCCTCATGTCCCTTCTCATATTGGACCTTGCATTTTGCAGCACGTCCTCCCCATGCTTGGGAGGCAGCTCAGCACCAACTGCTACAGCCAGAGCCAGCTGAACTGCAGGATGAGGCCTCCTGAGGCTACGGTGCTATTTCCACCCCAGCTGCTGTATCCCCCTGTCCTCGCTGCTGCTCCATGTGTTGGCCCTCCACAAAGGGTGGGAGCCGCAGGGTCTGTTACACCCCATGGCCTGGGCTTGGGTGTTGCATTCGGGAGGGACCTGGCACCCCGAGGTGCATCCTCTCCCTCACCCAGAAGTGTTGAGCCATCAGCACGTGCCTGTTGCAAAGAGCCACCTCGGGACCGCACGAGCAGTGGGAGATGAGCTTTGAAACGGCCTGCTCATCCTCATCCTCGGAAAGGGGAGATCTGGGGGGAAATGATTCACACATTTCCTCCCATTGCAGAGTAAAGCCACGAGTGATACCCGGCCCCAAGGCCATTTGCATCCTGGGCGGCTCCAGCAACCACCAGTCGTCCAGGGAGCGCTGACTTTTGCCAGCAGCACCCAAAGATGGTTTGCCAGACTGTGTTTGCACTGATTCCCCGCCACAGGACTGCTGGGGATGGAGGTATCAGTCCCGTCCCCGAAAGCTCCCGCGGCGCTGAGGGAAAGCACGAGCCCCTCCACTGCCTGCGGGAGATGAGGAGCCCAGCTGCTGCCTGGCGGTGCAGCATGGGTCACGCTTCTCCTTGGAGGGCAGCAGCCTCATCCCGCCCAAGCCAGCGCACCGGAGCATCTGCTCCTGCAAACACCCCGCAGCGCCTTTGCATCGGCACATTTCCCGGTTCAGCCGGGATAGAGGAAAAAGAGGAGGGATAGAGTGAAGCAGCTGGCACCGTGTCCCCCCTCTCCCCGCAGCGTGACCCCCAGCACAGCCCCAGCTTGGGGCACAACTTACCCAGCAGTGTCAGGACCAGGAGGAGCGTGTGCTCAGACATTGCAGCCGCCGGGCTTCAGCGAGGGCAAAACAGCCGGAAAACGCAAGGAGTGGGCAGAGGGGGCAGCTGGTGTGAGCCGAGGGCTGGAATCTGCTCCCAAGGACCTGCCACACTTTGGACTTCAGCCCCACTGTTATCTGTGCCGCGGTGCTTACGCTTCCCCAGCTCTCCCAGCCCTCAACCACGAGGTTCATGGAGAGGGATTTCTCCTGGTTGGGACAGGCCACCCGTGGCCCGGCAGCTTGGCACCGCTCCGAGCATCACACGTGGGGAGCTGGTGACCGCTGCTCTGCAGGGCTGCATCACTCATGGGAACCTTCTGCTCCTTTCCTTATCAATGCCCTCTTTTCCAACCCCCTTTCCCAAGCAGGCCAAGGAATAGGTGCCAAGAGCGGCTGTGCGAGCGGGGCAGAGCCTCTGGGGGCAGGCAGGCAGCAGGGTGCACCCCAGCTGGGCCTGCGGTGGGATTGGGGTTGTGAGGAGCAGCCCAAGACAGGAAAGGCTGATAAGCAGGTCATGGTCCCTGCCAGCAGCGTCATGGTTCAGGGCACTCGGCTGGAGCTGGCCCTCACCCCTGTCTCCACCGCTTTGCCCAACAGATGTTCCTGCATCCTGGTAGCCGGGCAATGGTAGCAGCCCTGTTTCTGCCCGGCAGCAGCGCCGGGGCCTGGGGGACAGCACACAGGCTCATGTTGCACAAAGCTGAGCTGAGTGCCTGCGAGCAGGTGGCCTTGGACACCAGATTAGAGCTGGATTGCGTCAGGCGCAGTAAAACACACGGCCGACTCGCTGCCCTGCAACAGCATGGGTCAGGCCGTGCCCAGGCGAGGAACTCTGCGCCCTCGCGCAGAGGTGTCACCCGAGCCTGGCACACGTGTGGAATCTGGCAACCCGCTCTGGCAAGCGCCCAAGCTCAGCGCAAGCGACCCCACGGGCCGGTCCTTCACCCTGCCCCCAAAGCCACCACGCTACGGGCAGGGCAGGGCTCCCAGGAACGCCCCGGCTCTGCGCCGTGGATTTCAGAGAGGGGAACCAGCAGCCAGCACAAGGCAAGCAGGCGGCTGAGCAGCGGCCGCGCGTGCCCTTCCTGCAGCCCTTCTGTTTGAGGGCACAAGTTTGCTGCTCCTCCTGCAGAGGGTTTTCCGTTGCCGCACAAAACCATGAGCCAGGGAGGAAGGTGACGGTGGCTTCTGCCTCTGGCAGGTAGCATCAGACCCAACCTGCGCTGGGAGGAGTGGGCAGAGCTCCTGGCCAGCACATCAGCTCCCTGGGGGCAAACAACAGCCTGCCCAAATGGCCGGGCTCAGGGGATTACTATCAGAGCACAAAGTTCAGCTGGGGGCAGCTACTACTGGTGTCCCCAAGAAGTCCATGCTGGGGACACTTCGTTAATTAGTTGCACAAGGGGACAGAGCACATCCTCAGCAAGCACGCGGGCCATATAGGGAGGAGATAAAGGCCACCAAGAAGAGCCTGACTTCAGCAGCCCCCAGCCACTGCACAAGGGGCAACGAGCACATCTGGCAGTTTGCGCTCACTGCCCCCTGCCCGCTCACTGGGCACCACTGGGAAGACAGGGCTTCCTTCCTTCAAGGGGGTCGAGCACTGCAACAAGCTGCTCAGAGCTCGTGTGAAGCCCCCAACCATACCGCTATTCAAAACCCATCCGGCCCCGGTCCTGAGCAAGCTGCTTTGGGCATGGGGTAGGATTAGGTGATCTCCAGAGGCACCATCCAACCTCAGCGATTCATTGACGTGAAGGGAGCCACCAGGGAAGCTGCACCCTTCACCCCTAACGTTAATCTCATGCTCTGCCCTCCCAGGTTTAGACGCTAGCACCCATTAGTGTTCACACATGTGACGTATGTCAAGGGTCACTCTCGCACCAAGTGCCAGGGCCCTCCCCACAAGCCAGAGCAAACAACACCTCCACACAAAGTGAGGTCAACTCCGCTCTGCTGTTGTCTGCAGCAGAGCTTTATACCCGTGCAGGTGGGCATGCGCTGAGGAGCAGCACTCGTTGGCTACAGGCTCCCAGCTGATTGGTTCTCCTCCAGGTGCTTGGTTGCTAGGCGTCGGTCCAGTTCCCCACAAACTCCACTTTCCTATATATTCTTACTAAGGCCCCAACAGACGTACATCCAGACCAGGCTGACAAGGTCTCAGCCCAGCAGATCCATTTTGCCTATAGTGGCACCCGTGTCACCTGGTGCAAGTCCTGGGCACCTAATCCCTGGTTTTCTTCCCCTTTTGGTAGCCTGCAGGGCTGGAGACAGTTTGGGGCATCATTACCTTGAGGAGATGTAGTTCTTCCCTGGGCTGCAGCTTCCATCCCACTACCCTACTTTGCTTCCCACCCCCTCAGGGTCCAGTCCTACACCTGAGTTTGCAGCTCAGAGGCTGGCTCAAGCCCAGGAAGGGGTCACAAGAGCTGCCACCATTCGCACACATCTCGCCTTATCTCCCTCACCTCGTGGCAGCAGCTCATGCAGGGACACTCCTGCCACACGTCAGTGCCACACGCGCCCCAAGACAGCCTGAAGCCCTCAGTGTCCAGCAGCAACGAGGCAGCGAGGAGCCCTGGCTGCCCCTGAGGACACAGGTCCAACCCCAAGCCACCAGGCAGGCAGCAGCCCCCGCAACAAAGCCAAGGACGTGCCCAGCCCAGGAGGGCATCGCCCTGCAGCCTTGCCCACTGCTGCCAGCCGCACGTGAGGAACGTGGAGGCGCTGGGGCTGAGCATTAGCAGGTCTTGCCAGCTTCGGGCACAGAAGCAGCATCTTCAGTGGGGGCCCAGGTGGCTCCCCCAGGCCAGGAGAGGCTCAAAGTCTGTTCTGCTCTCCTGGGGCAATACAATGATTTGTGTCAGATGGCATTTTGCTTGCAGACATGAGCAGGGCCTTGTTCCGCAGATCTCCATGGGGAAGCAGCAGCTTTATCTCATCTCAGAAAGCGTGACAAGGTGATGTCTCCTGTGCGTGCAGCACAGATGCCTTCCCCAACAGTCACCCAGGGAAGGCCAGGAAGGGAGCAGCACACAGAGCAGTAAGGAAGAAGAAAAAGACTGGACCTGAAGCTTAACCTGCAGCCCATCATCAGGCAACATCCCCATCCCAATACAGGGGCTCCACACACTAATCACAACCCAAAAAGGGAAGGCGTTGGGGCAAGGTGCCAGGTTCCTCTAGAAGGTGAGGTACCCACCAAACCTACTATGAGATAGTAGCCTGGCAACCTGCCCAGCCACGCATGTCATCAGCCCTTCTGCCAGCTGGGCACCTGCCTGGAAGGCTTCCAGGAAATTCCACAGCCTCCCACGCTCCCCACCCTCCTCACCACAAGCTAAAGGTCAGCTGCAAGGGAGACATACATTCAAGGAGACCCATGGACACGAGAGCTAGGAAATGGCAAGCAGCAGGAGCCAGTGTCGCTTTCCTGGAGGGTTGAAATTAAGGATGATCTACCTCAGGGAATAATTAACCACTGATCTGCTTAGGTGGGAACAGGGTCTGTTCGCCAACAGCTTAGTCCTCGGATTCCCAAAAGCTCAGGGCAGGAGATACAGTTTATTATCGCAGTGCTCCTTCTGCCCGGCGAGTCTGTGCAGCAGCTCTGCCCCTTCCCTGTGCCGGACACAGGGACCTCCCTGCTCCTCCCTGCAGCTCCCTCAGGTCATTACTCCTGGTCCCAGCTTGCTCAGGTGCCCCCCCTGCAGACAGCACCTTCTGCTCACCAGTGTCCTGGACAATCCTCAAAACTGGAGGACAAGTGTAGCTGTTAACTCTGCACACCCAACCCCACGCACCTCCAAATCTAAAAGACCCTCTGCTGTCCACACCTCAGAGCCGGCTCTGGTGTTGGGCCTCCAGAGAGGGAGGCCTCTTTGGGAAGCTGCGGGAGGCTGAACCCCGCTGCGGGGAACAGCAAGGGCAGGCAGGGTCGAGCACCGCCCCGGCGTGCAGGAACAGGACGGAGCCACTGACACACACAAGCAGCCAAGCCAAGCCAGCCGTGCTGCCCAACATGTTTAATGCTCGCCACGCACGCAGGACAAGCCCTTGCCACAAGGCAAGGCCAGGGCAGGGCCCCCACCAGCCTCACCACGCTGTGGGTTTCGCCCTCAGGCTTTGCTGGGTGTGACGGGGGGACAGGCAGAGCCCATGGCACTGAGGAAGTCCAGTGAAAAAGCCCTAGGAGAATTTAAGTTTCTCGGAGCAGGGAGCTCAGCACAGAGAAAAACAGCAGTGCTGGGAACCCTGCTGCCACCTCCCTAGACGCTGAGCTAGAGGAGGGAGCCAGGCCAGCTCCAGGCTGGCCCGACGTGGCCACCTGGGCACACCGAGCTAGTAGCCCTCATCGGCCCAGGTGATCTCGTAGTCTGGATACTTGGCTTTCAGCTTCTCTGTAGTCACGGAGTGATTTGCTCGCCCAAAGCCCTGGAAAAAGAGAGAGAGTTCAAGAGTAAAGCAGATGTGAGCACCTCTACAGTAGCTAAACAAACGCTTGGGGACAGCTCAAGGCAACGAGATGATCTGCAAGGAGACCAGGGCAGGGAAAATAACCATTGATCCCGTATTTGTGACAGATACAAGGGGTCCAATCAACACCTGGTACCAGCCCGCACTGCTGCCCAGCACCCCGGAGCCATCCCAAGGAGGCCGGAGCTGGGAAAATCAGGACTGCCAGAACGCTCGGGGCAAACACAACTACTGCCTGTGTCCTCCATCCGAGTGCTGGGGCCTCCAGACAGGAGGAGAGAGATGGACGTGGGAAGGAGACCAGGCTTTCCGTGGCCCGTCTGCAAGGCGACGCAGGGTGATGCCGGGCGATGCCGGGCCGCGCAGGGCGATGCAGGGGCTTCCCGCGCGCCCCCGGCCCCAGCTCCCCAGCGGTGCTCCCGTGCCTGCCGCACGCGCTCGCGGGGACCCGGCTGCCGCCACCAAGG